TCTCTTCTGGTTAAAACAATCCTGTTTCTCCGCCACTTTGTTTTCTAATAACAAACACGTCTACAGGGTACGGGTCAGCCAAATGTATAGGTACGGATCAGCCAATTTTAGGTACGGCTTAACCGAATTTGGGGACGGGTCAGCCAATTTTAGGTACGGGTCGGCCAATTTGAATACGGGTCAGCCAAATGTAGGTATGGGTAAGCCAAAATCTCAGGTATGGGTTACGGGTTGATGAAAGTACGGGTTGACTAGTCCCCTTCTCCAATATGTACATCGCTTCACATTTTTTAAGATGAAGGAAATAAAATATATGTTTTTGAATATTACACGCATTGCTAAATTTTTATGAAGTCCACGTCTAAATAGTTATAGACAAAGGGTCACGTAAATATATATGTGGTGACTTTATCATTGTAACTTTTATGTAATATGCAAAGTTAGCGATGTTTTCTTCTTTCTGAACAGTGCTCCATCCTGTTTTAAATATGTGTTTTGGTAATCCTGTAACTATGCGTGAAACTTCAAACGGACTGTATATATTTACTGCGAGTTTGCGTTAAGTTTTCTCATACAACATAGGTATATCGTGTTTGAAGTAGATTTTATCACTTTCTTGATAAGAGAATACCATTTACCGCCAGAAGTAATTACACAAGTTTTGTTTTTCGGTCTTAGATTTTGACATAAATAATATGGCTCACATAGAAATTACAGTTTCATCGTAGATATACAACATATAAGGAATCTAACAATAACACGGGGATTCAGCCAATTTGGTCCAAATTTAGTGTTGGAATATATCCGTTTATGGGACTTCAATTCAGTCAAAATTTGAAATATGAATTTGTGTATTTAGGCAAGGTATACATATAAAAGAAGAGAAAAATATATTCTTGGAAATCATCAGTTTATGGGACTTTAGCCAATTTGGTCCAATTTCAGTACCTTGAAAAAATCTTCAAAATTTAGTCCAAATTCAAAAATGCAATCTGGGATGTTGCCATTTAGTCTGGTTATGTGTATTTAGGCAAGGTATACAAATAAAAGAAGAAAAAAATATATTTTTGGAAATCATTAGTTTATGGGACTTTAGCTAATTTGGTCCAATTTCAGTACCTTGAAAAAAATTTCAAAATTTAGTCCAAGTTTAAAAATGCAATCTGGGATGTTGCCATTTAGTCTGGTTATGTGTATTTAGGCAAGGTATACATTTAAAAGAAGAGAAAAATATATTCTTGGAAATCATCAGTTTATGGGACTTTAGCCAATTTGGTCCAATTTCAGTACCCTGAAAAAACCTGTAAAATTTAGTCCAAATTTAAAAATTCATTCTGGGATGTTTCCATTTAGTCTGGTTATGTGTATTTAGGCAAGGTATACATTTAAAAGAAGAGAAAATTAAATTCTTGGAAATCATCAGTTTATGGGACTTTAGCCAATTTGGTCCAATTTCAGTACCGTGAAAAAACCTGTAAAATTCAGTCAAAATTTGAACATTCATTCTGGGATGGTGCCGTTTAGTCTGGTTATGTGTATTTAGGCAAGGTATACATATAAAAGAATAGAAAAATATATTCTTGGAAATCATCCGTTTATGGGACTTAAGCCAATTTGGTCCAATTTTAATACTGTGAAAAAATCTGTAAAATTCAGTCAAAATGTGAAATTTCATTTTATGATGGAGCAGTTGAATTTTACAATGTATTTTAAGGGAAGAAACAAATAGAAAAAAGAATAAAAATAATATCCTTTGAAATCACCTCATTATTGGACTTTAGCCAATTTGGTCCAGTTTCAGTAATTTGGAAGAAATCTTTAAAATTTAGGCAAAATTTAAAAATTCAATCTAAAATGTTGCAGTTTTGTCTGATGATGTGTATTGAAGTGAGGAGTATGTATTAAAAAAGAAAAGAAAATCCTTTGGAATCATCAATGGATGGGATTTTACCAAATTTGGTCCTGCATCACATACTTTATTTTTGTCATTTCAGGTTTCCTCATGTTGATGGAACAGATTTGTCCACATTCAGAAGCTTCCCGATAGTAATGCAGAAGTTCTCCATGTTGTAGTGGTTGGACATGTGTTGAATTGAATCATGTCCCAATATTACAGCTGGTTAAGTGCTATATTAAACGTCATGACATCTTCAATATGTAATTCAGGAGCAACAACATCCACATCTGAGAACATCTTGTATCCTACAGTGAAGAGACAGATAAGTGATAGAAATATATTCTTTGAATATGGCTTCTTCATTTGTGAAAACAATATGCTAATACTTGCGGTACAAAGTTTAAGTATCACTTTCATTACAGTAGAACATCGAATAAAGTATGATTTCATTGCATTTTAAGCTCACCTTGACAACATTAAATTGAGCTTTTGTTATGGGGATTGGGCTATCGTCTGTTCCTATGGGTCTGGCACCAACAAAGTAAGGTTTTCATTTTGAAACTATCCTCTTTATATTTCAGCTAGACACTTATCTCGCCACACTTATCTTCTCAAAATCTACTAACTTTCAAAATTCCAGAGTTTGAAAGTACAGTTATGATATGTTTCTCCACAACAAAGATGGATTTTGATTTTGAAAAAAATCAATATGTTGGTCATAGCAGGATGTTGATGGGTTTCACTACCATTATGCCTACTGACAAATATGTAATAAACTTAGCTTACCCATGTGAAAATGAACTGGTCTAGAAAGTAGAATAAGACCACTTACATGGAATATTGTGAAAATAAAATGTTAAACATTCATTTTACTGACACAATGACAATTTATAGAGAAATGGTCTCCTGCTGATAAGATCATGAACCAAGGTCGTGTCTTCATGATTACACTTTATGTAGTGTTGTGAACATTTTGAAGGTAACACACACATTATGAAAATGTATAAAAACAAGATATGTAGGTAAAATGCACACAAATTAGTACATTTGTAATTATGTTCTCTTAGCATAAAAAAAAATAATAATAATAATACCATCAGTGAAATATGTTGTTGTAAAGCTGAAAACAAACCATTTATGATGATGAGCATACAAATTATCAGAAGAAAAAGAAACTTATTTTGTTATTGTGGCACAAACAAACAAACTATACATAATGGGTTACTAAAAATACAACATCCGGTCATAGGCAAATGATTCATAAAAAACATAATGGCATTATTAAAATGGTGTATGGAAATTACATACATGTACATTCATTTGAAGCTACATAGAAATATATTGATTGTACTCCTGCATGACATGTATTCTTGCATTTCTTTATGCATGTTTATACATGTACAAGCGAGAACCTACATTTGTCAATGATTCTATTCCTAATCTGTCTACCTTTAGACAGGTTAACTAACTTAGTCAGGAGGGGTGACCGGTGGTAACTAGCATTTACTCAACAGTATGGTGTGTTTGTTTAACCAGTAGGCATAATGGGAAGGCAACACTCATGGTTGTTTGAAAAAGAATTGCAGTTTGGCTAGATTCTTGGTCATTAATGATGTCTACCAGTTTAAAATTTGTTAATGGCCATGTCAAGCTCTTTTTTTCTGGAAATTATCTTGGTTCATCAGGCATTGTATTTATTATATCTTTTCTAAAAGGATGTGGGCTTTCCACTTTAAAAATATAGTATGCCTTAAAACAAAATTCAGTATGGCTGCTATGACACCAGCTATTAGCTATGCTTGTAGAAGAAATAATAGTTTTTTCAAATTACTTTGTCATTAACCAGTCATTGCCTTCAGAATTGGTGTACAGCTTCTTCTTATGATTCTGACAATAATAGAGGATATTTCAAGTTACGCAAAGTCCTTTATATTATATGCTATTTTTATGAAAATTACACATTCAAATGTGCTGATCACAGTTCAAATTTTCAGTGACATCACGAAATTGTTCAAGTGATGTCATGTGATTGTTTTGGTGTCATCATGCCATTGTACTTGCTGTATAGCAGTGATATCACACAATTGAATTCAGTGCATTGACGAGAAAAATGATCTTTCACTGCAGTGAAAATATCACTTATTGTCTGAGAAAACACAGTATTTAACTACTTTGCATATAATAAGATTAAATTTTCAAACACCCAAGTTTTGATATGCTGAAATACCCTGATTTTAATGATTATTAGTGAGAGATAATTGACATAAAGCAGCGTTAGAAATTGGCACTAGTCCTGTAGTTCTTGCCAAACTGCCCAATGGTTAAGGTATCATAAGGACTAGTAGAAATTTGCCGTTTATAAGGCTTTTGCTACTTGTTATCAAGGACTAGTGAACTAAAACTGTTAGTTTCTACCCCTGTAAAGTGTTAAATGGCCTCTGACAAGGGGTGACTAGTGCATCGTACACACACATTTAGAATGTATTCACCTCAATCTGTTAGTGAGATCTACCCAAAATTCTATAGTGAGTTTTTTTTCATGGGAGAGTTTCTGCTGTCATTATCTGATTAATATTTTAAAAATTAAAAGTTTCTGTCATTACTGAAAGATTTTGTTTCATGTCTTACATGTTATATGTAAGGATGCTGCACTATGGATCCTCTCTGAAATGATTTCATTACCAGAAAGTTATTTCATTTGTGCCAGTTCACAGAGATCAAGCACTGTAAATTTCTTTATAAGTATCAAATATATTTAAGCTTTATCAGTTAGGCATAATATTCTCAATGAAAAGAAAAGATGTGTTTAATTAAACATTTGTTTTTTCATCAGGACATCACATTCAAGATCATATACCCAGCTAATCTAACATTGTAACTAATGTTATATTTGGGATAACACTTTCTTAGTAAAGTACAGAATCTAGTAAGTTGTCGGACTTTTATTTTTGTGGAAGCCTGGGTGGCTGAGTGGGTTAGATCGCTGACTTTGTGTGCTGGCGATAAGGTGCCTCACCCTGGCAGGTGTGGGTTCGAATCCCGCAGGGGACTCAACCCCCCAAAAGTACTAAAAGTACTAGAATCTGTACTTTACTAAGAAAGTGTTATCCCAAATATAACACTAGTTACATTTGACCACTTTCTAAATGGCATTGTGTATTCATAATCTAACATTCTTTTATTAAAACCAAAATGAGAACACAGAGTGTTGAAACCACGGGAAAATGACACCTATGTTTTATGTGCTTTTATTTTATTTTCCCAATGAATATGCTTATGAAGTGCATCTAAATATTATTGTCTTAGGTGTCTCATAGGACTTATGGCTGAATATTGTATATTTTTTAACAATGAATATTGTTACAGTGAACTACATTTAAGTGACATCAAAATACAATAATTTCTTATTCTTAAAAATGTCAACTTGCTGGGATGAACCCCACTCCAATTACCCTTTCCTCCATCCATTCATCCACTAACACAAAACTCTTAGAACCCAAACATCCAAGTCAAACCTTGTTACCTTCCCATATACATATAGGAACACATACTAATAACGAAGTTACTGAATTATGTACTCCACTGTCCCTCTGCATGGCCATGCTACCAGCTGTGTTAGGTAATATTATGTAATGCTGGCCACCTGGTATATGTTCTCTGGCCTGGTGAGGTGGGCTCCTCCCCTTACTTGTCATCTTAGGAGTAATTAGCCAATGATTAGATTTTTTGTACCAGACCATCACTGTCGTATTGCTCTAGGAATGAGACAGTTGTCTCATTATGTTTCAGTTAAACGAATAGGCGACAACTACTACACTTCATTGATTTCATTGGAATCATTAGGAATTTTGTTCAGTCAATCTGTGTGTACTGACTTGTGCTGCTAGGTCGAGGAAACTTATCAAGGACTTTGGAAGTAAAGGAATTATTCCTTCAGTAGATGATTCTCTTTGGACGGGTCTTTTGGATCTGGTATTGCTGGAACTAAGGGTGAGTTGAAAATGGAATGTTCATTACCTTGGATAAGCAATATTATGTTTGAATGTATGGTAATTAAACACAGCATGTTTTTTAGGTTCAGTGAATGATTTTGATTGATGAAATTAGTCTAACTTATCAACAGTACTGACTTTGTGCCTGGTAGATATAATTTGGTGACAATTTCAGACAGATTATAGGTACATGATTTAATGAATTACACAGGTTTTGATTCTGTTTCTTGATATTATATTAACAAAACTATAGTTTTCTTTCACCTTGGTAAGGATATCTAGAAATGATTCAGTATTATATATTGGCATAATCATAATTAGTAATAAATCACACACTGTCTCCTTGGTTTTCGGTTGAAAGTGATTGTAGACAAGGTCAGGATATTTCTCCCTCTATCTTCCTATGCTTTTGAAATTCTGGCTGGGCTTGTTAAGAACAATATGTTAATGTCAAGGATATTTTAGTTAAAAGATGAAAATTATTTAACACAATATGATGATAATACAGAGTTCCTTTTGACAGGTGAGAAAAATCTGTTGAAGCTACAGTGGGTATTTCATAAGTCCCAAGTAATATTGATAGGCCCAAAGAAGAATAACTCAGTTTGGTATTTGCCTAATAAAATAATTGAATGAAACCCAGAAGATTTCAGGCTGCCCAGTGTTATATTTTCAACAGACTTGAAATGAACAGAACTATAACCTCTCTTGGTTCAATTGCCATTATTGAGGCCTTACTTATTTTCAAATTTAATTTACTGGTATTGTTTATTACTGCCAAATCATTATGGGAATTTTATTAAGGAGTTAAATAAAATGTTATTTAAGTTTCTTTGGAATGGAAAGTCCGATAAGATTAAAGAGCTAATGTAAAAGGAGAAGCTTTGGTATTATTGATTTCTTTACACCAGTCAATTCTCTAAAACTATCTTGGGTGAGAAAGTTATTGGACATTACAAATGAGTCAAGATGAGAAATGCTCTTTTTTGCTTCTTTCCCTTGCTGTCAACATTTGTCTGTATTTGGTGTAGGCCAAATTCAAGATCTAAATTCCAAAACACTTTTAAACTTCTTGTCAACTTTCCTTTATATTATTGGTTTTCAAAAGTGATCAATAGCATGAAAGACCAACATCTTTTGCCCAGTTAGATGATAACGGAAATGTCAGTGTCAGAAAATTACTGTCACAATATTTAGGCAGACCAGCGCCGACTCCAAAGGTAAACCATCTCTGAACCACCGTGAGAGGTGGTAACTTATGAGACAAGCGAGACAAGCGCTAATGTGAAATGGTAACTGTCACAAAGTTACTTTAGAAACGGTCTAGAGACGGTTAAATCACCTAATGTGAAAGGAGTATAAGTCAGAGGAATGTTTGTTGGCTGAGCATGAATGGGATAAGTTATGTGGAAAGGGTCGTTGTAAGGATGGGTACCATAGGAGATTAGCCCGAGTAAGACCCTGTATACCGGACTGTACCCCGACAATGCAGGAAGTCACCCAAGTTTACCGTACAGTACCCAAGTGTTGCATACCATACCTAAGTCAGTTTAGGGGGATGAAAAGTATTTAGTTTCATTTCATCATAGTAAATCATAAAGACTGGGTGGGAGGAGGAGGCAGTCAACTGGGTGCATTTAAGATGAAATCAGGGGGTAATATGTGAAAACAAAAACAACAGGTTAATTTCGGACCCTGTGTCAACTAACTCTATTTTGTTTATTATATAAGATACATATTTAAGAAAAGTACCTTAATATTCCTTTTCTGTCAAGGATGAAACTGAAACATGAAGCATATACAGATTTCTGGCAGTTACTGTTGTGCTAACTCAATGAAAATGTTCATATTTCCAAAATATGAGACTTGATCTTGTTGATATTTATCTTATTTCTTTGGTTTGAAGAAGAACACATGCGCTGAGATGTATTTGAGGTAGTGTTGCTGCTGGTTAATTTTTTTAAATAAATGTAATGTTTAAAAAAATTCTTTACATTTTAAACAGTATCAATGTTATCTTTGAGTTTATTATTGAAAGAAATGTTGTGTACAGAAAACATGACCAAACCAAACAAGTGTTACAAAAAATGGATGCTGTAGAATTAGACAGTAAATTTTGGTATTCCATGACTGGTGTCTAAATGTATTACATCTAGCAAGTTATTTTAACAATTTAAATTACATGATAAGTAGTGATAAAATTTGAAAATATTTGTTTATTAAGTTTGTAGTATGAATTTGCAATGTTTGCTTTTCACTAAATTTGAAATAAGTGTTCAATCTCCCTTCTTTGTCTATTGTACTCATGTTGTTATTGTAGTTATATGATGTATCATTTGTAACCAAATATCTTAAAAATCAATGAATTATTTCTTCATTGTTAACAGTCAGGGATCGGATTGTGGAGGCTCCCCAAATTGGCAGCCTCCTGGTCCACACTCCCAGTTCCAATCTTTGCCTGTAAAGCCCAATCTTTGTGATTTCTGCAGGTATTTACAGAAACATGATGGACAACCAAGCAAATGTCATCTGGTTGCATTGTAAACATAAAATTATGCCAATTATGTGACTAGATTAGTCTTTTGAGGAGAAAATGTGGTACAAAATTAGCCTAAAAAGGCCAAAATTGACCAGCTTCAAAGACAATTTTCAAGTAACCAAGCATTCTCTTATATCAAAGTTCAACCATTTCTCTCTCTGTTTCAATGGTTTTTATCATGGTTCCAAACTCAGTGTTGGTGTGGGAATGATTAAAAGAAATTCTACTTTGGGAGCGTCCACACTGCCACTTTCACCACTGATTGTCACTTCAATATGGATTAATCATGTTAATACTAAAATTACCTTAATTTACTATTCAGGTTCCCTTCGAGTCACAGCTGATTTCTTTGAAAACAAGGTGAGACATTACCATGATTACTACACATGTATCTGCAGAAACCATAGTACATCTAGCTGCAAAAAACATAGTACATCTAGCTGCAAAAAACATAGTACATCTAGCTGCAAAAAACATAGTACATCTAGCTGCGAAAACCGTAGTACATCTAGCTACGGAAACCATAGTACCTCTAGCTGTGGAAACCATAGTACAACTAGCTGCGGAAACCGTAGAACATCTAGCTGCGGAATCCGTATACCAGCGGCACGTATTGGGGTAGTAATTATAGGGTGCAACATCACAGAGTTATGGTTTCTGCAGCCAGACTACATCTTATGCTATAACTTAATTATACATATCTCTGACATTAATTATGTTTGATTTGTCATAACACTATCCAGAATTCCCAACTACACTCAGCTGCCAGCTAGACTTTCTTAATGAGTTCAACTCAGATCCCCCTGTTTCCTACCCTGCAGTCTTTGCTATCATGGACAGGCTGAGGGAATAGTTGTTGTTTTAGTTTTAGGACTTTATAAATTTTGATTTTTTTTTAGTTTCCATGGCAACAAGTTGGACTTAGCATTAATATGAGGGTGGGGTTGGTTCGCGGAGTGTAACTGAAAAAACGTTCAATACTTTCTAACAAAACTTAGCATGTCTACCAGGCACATTCTGAAATGGTGCCTTTTAGTATTTAGAAATTTTTGAATGTTTTATTTTTTTAAGATTTTTATGGCAACAAGTTGGATTAAGGTTCTATGAGGGTAGGGTTCATTTCCAGAAAATAACTGCTAAACCATTTAGTATTTCGAGTCAAACACATGCTGAACTGGTGCCTTTTGCTATTCAACAATTTTAGAACGTTTTATTTCAAGGTTTTCATGGCAGCTTTTTGAACTTGGGCTTAAAAAAATGTTGGGTTAGTTTACCTGGTTTCGGACCATTACATGTTAAGGTTGGCAGGGAATATAGATGACTTTGTCGACTATATGCTTGTTGAAATTGAAACTGTTAAAGCGGAAACTGTCTAATGAATTGACTGTTTGACTTTCTTCACAGAAACCAGAAGTTTGCAGTCACACTAAGAGCCTTTTACAGGGTAAGTTCAGGTAATATACTCTATAAAGTACATGGCCATGGAGAATGATCTGAAGTCCGAAACATGCACATCACATCTGGCCAAAATAAACCAATTCAATGTATGTATCCTTTCCTTTCATATAACACTGTTGTTGATATTCCTGTATATCACATTGAAAGTTAACAGTCACATATACACCAACATCACACAACAGTCAATATAAAATGAATGTGGCATTCTTGAGGCACTTTTGTCTTTACAGTGGGGACAAGGACGTGGTGAGAGACACAACTGGTTTGTTACCAAGTATCCCTACCATGAAGTCAAGGCTGGATTTGGGTCAGATTTTGTGTCTGCTGAAGTAAGAAAATGAATTCATATGTACAGCTAAATTTCATTAAAGTATGAGAATGATAATGTTCACAATTAAGTGCTAAGTCCACAATTTAGTAGAGAAAATTTCCAAAATTTCATTGTTGAAAAAGTTTCAATCCCATGATTGTAACAATTCGTATGTTGTGATAGTAATCATTATCTTATGCAATAAACACAATGTACATGTTCTTTTGTTTCTGACATACACTTTTCTGCATATAGGTAAAATATAAGTGTTCATGAAGATTAAAGTAAAATGTTTGGGGGAAAAAATGGCAAATAGTTGATGATATCAGTTGCTCAGTGAATTGTACTTTATACATGGCAAAACAAATTTTAGATGTATGGGCACATACTTCAGTGGCTGGGGCAATCCTTGACATGCCGTCCAGTGAGAGATAAACGCTAAGAATAATGGTGAATAGTGTAGATTCTTTTCTAAAGTTCCCAATGGCACAAATTTAAAATCAGTGTAAATTCACAGTTTTAAGCATGTTGTTTTGAGCATATATTTACCAGTGTTTACCAAATTGAATAAGAACAGAGCAGTAGTTAAATGTGATTAGGAAAAGTTTACATCTAAAGCATATTCACAGAAGAAGCTTATCATTTGATTATATATACAGATGAAATTGATACATTGAAAATTGCTCATGGTCTAAATTTCACATAAATGTCACTGACCACCTTTGATTCCTTTTCAGTCGCCCTTACACTAAGCCAGTGACTTAGATCTTTACTGTGCCGGATGTTGATGCGAATCTCAGGGAACTTCCAATGGAGTACACACAGTAAGCACAGAAAATACAATTTATTATTCTATTTCTATCGGTGAAATACCGCATTTATCGGTTAAAATAAAACCTGCATCTACACTGAGTTAGATATCAAAATCAAAAAGTAAACAATGTGATGACTTAATGTGTATCATCAGGCAACAAGACGACTGACACAGTGAATGTACTGAATTTGCGAGTCATCGGTCCGGTTTTCATAAAATTCAGCAATAAGGAAGAATAGAATAAATAGAACATTTGACTTTTCCTGTTGAATACCGTGTTTATGTCATCTCGTGAAGTTGAAAAGTTTAATTTTTACACTTGCGGCTACGCCACTCATGAAAATACAAACTAGTCAACTTCACTCGACGAGATAAACACTGTATTCGACAGGAAAAGTCAAATATCCTCTATACGTGTTTGTCTCCTTCAGTTAGGAAAACAAACATGTCTGTTACATTTCATTATTGACAATTTTAGGTTGTATTATCTGAAGCAGACATGTTCCAGAAATATAATAGTATGTATTATGTGTACAGGTTTGTTTGCTTGATTTCTGGTACATAGTTATAGGTACAATGTTGTTAGATACATTATTATTAAACACTCACTGGAATGAATGCTAAACAGAAAAGAACCAATTTGGTGAAAGGGAACAGAAATTCAGTCATATTTTGTTAGAATATATCCCACATTGGAAAAAACATTTAGTATTGTGAAAATGGAGACACCAAAGAATGAGATAATAGTCTTGTAAAGTAATAATCAATTACAATGTAACTAGTGAAGCTACTGAAAATAAATATATTCATTGTAATTGTAAAAAACTAATTCTTTGAATTTTTGGCAAGTAAATGATTTCCAATTATTCCAATTACAACTTACATTTATGAAACTGGAACTGGAGATATTCATTTTATTCTTAAAATTGAGTCTGGTTATAAATATGCTCTAATTTATTACAGCGCTGCATGGCACTGCATTCTGTATCTGGCAATTAAGGAAGTAATCATATTCCTTGCTGAGAAACTGACAGGGAGAACCTACTCTTCAATCAACCCAGAGTGTCAAAGGACAGAATTGCATTCAAAAGAGCTTTAATTGCATAATTATGATGCTCCTTTGAAAGGGTTACTGTTTTAATGAATGCAGCCAACTCATTGATGCCTTGATGTGGTTTGGTTGTTCTCTGTACCTTTCTTTCATTCACATATGGACCCGTGAAGATTCCAGGGTAGAATAAGTCTTCAGCAACCCATACTTGCCGTAAAAGGCGACTATGCTTGTCGTAAAAGGCGACTAACAGGATCGGGTGGTCAGGCTCGCTGACTTGGTTAAAACATGTCATCGATCCCCAATGCGTAGATCGATGCTCATGATGTCAATCACTGGATTGTCTGGTCCAGACTTGATTATTTTACAGACCGCCATCATATAGCTGGAATATTGCAGAGTGTGGCGTTAAACAACAAACAAACAAACAAATCATTCACATATCATGCATATGTGTATAGAACATGCCTCAGTCTCCTCCCATTGATGTATATTTCAGTTGAATATAGTAAAACCCTGTTAGTGCAGATCATTGTGTGTGTTAAACTTATCCATGTTTATGAATTGCCAAACTATTTGATGTAGCATGTTTTGGTGAATCAATAATCGAAAAAAGAATAGGGGTATACTCTAGAAACAGATCTTAACGGTTCTCCTTGTAACTAACCTGATCATAAAGAAAAGGCATGTGTATCATTAAAGCAGTTAACTTGTGCTTTTAGCTATTTCTGGATTTATTGAAAGTCTGTCTGTTGACATTGAAACAATTTGAACTTGGATTTAGATGGAGTGGGGTGTTGTTCAAGATTAAAATTTAAGAATTATGAGACATGTTTTCGTGAAACATGCAGAATGATTAATCAGATAGTGGACAATTGTCTTTTGCTACTGAACAATGTTTTAAAGTTTCAAGTTGTTACTTTTTCTGGAATAAAGTTGGAGTTACATTCAGTTGAGTTGAATTTCTTTAAAAGAAGAAAGAATATTAAATGATATCTTCAAAACAAATTGGAAAATGATCAGTCAGATATTGTTGATGTGACTTTGGATATGTTTGAATATAGACAATTTTTTATAACTTTTTATTTTTTATTCTTATTTATGAGATTGGTGATATATTGTGAGGCTGCAGGGGAATTTGTCATATTCTCACGACTCTTGTTATCAGTGTTTGTTTAATAACATTAGCAGTCTACATTGAATGTCAAAATAAAGTTTGCTAAAATATATTTAGATGTAAATTTCCTAAAAGGTGTGATTTGATAATCATATGATCATCAGTTTGTTCATTTGAAAAGCATAGCAGTAACCATTTTCTGGTTATTACCAATAATTTTGGCTGATGTAATCATTGATTAATACTTACAATTGAGTAAACCTGTTCTTAAAAAAGTTAGTAAATGTTAGTAAAACAAACACACTGGAAGTTCAACATCAAATCTTGCATACATAGTTCTTGCGCTCAGATTGTAACATGTTTTTGCAGGTTGGTGTCCATATCAAAGTCTATAGAACTTGAAAACATTGTATCTGGTTTTAATGAATCAATTTACCAAAACATGATTGTCACGTAGAGGTATTTTCTTGACTACAGGGGCTTCAATGTACATTGCCATTAACTGATATTGGACATCACATTTGCCTGAACATATTTATACTATATGGGTTTATTCTGTGTAAAGTTGACTTTGTTACATGTATGTCCTTTGAAGTTAGTTAATGATTAGATTGTTTGCTTGTGATCTATTTTACAGAGTTGTCGTGAATTTATTCACTTGGTATCATTTTCTTCTACTGGGTCAAAACAGATAATATTTTTCTGTTATTTTTAATATATTTAACGAATAAAAATAAGGTAGAATTGTTTGAGTATACATTGCATACAATAGTAATACAAAATATTTAAAGAACAATGAATTTCATTATGATGCAACAATAGTGTTCATGTGTGAGTGAATGAATGGTTGTGAACATTTCCACATTTATTTTTCTGCATGTGTCTCCAACTACCCTTTTTGTAACAGATGTTCTGCCACAATTAAATGTGAATTATAAACACAATCACGTGGAAGAATTTGTACCTCATCTACTTTTGTTTGAGCATGTATTATGTACATGAAATGTATTGATGGTTTCATTAGGCGAAATAGAACTCTTCTTCAATGTATATTTTAAGTCAGATTTTTTGTTACAGAGTTAGTGTATGAATGAAAGTGAGGATTGAGTAAGGATTGTAATGAGTGCTTACTGGTATGTGAAGGACTCTTCTGTTGATATTTCTTGTGAAGTAATAAAAGTTATAATTGAAATTTGTCTTTGTTTCTTAAATGACATAGAAACATAATCTATTGTAAGTCTCACACATCAGGTTGGATGTCCACATACATATATGCAAAGCAGTGTGGCATGAATACATGTAGGTTTATTGCCTGATGGGTTAAAGAGCACATGTGCATGAAGTTTCAAATTTTAACTCACTTTCTGTGACTTCTCAAAATTACCTGATTTGATTATTTCAAAGGATATTATTTCATAAGATTTTTCCAAATTATTGAAAATAAAGTGAGGGAGTGAGTGAGTTGGGTTTGAATGTGGCTTTCCAGAATATTTCACTGATCTCACGACGTCCAGATTTAATGTAGGAGAACCAACACCACCATGGTATTTAAGTGATGTAGTAAGACCTGGAGGACAATGCTGGTATCTGGCTGACAGAGGGTGTTATGCAGCATGCATTCGCAATATAGCATTGCATCCTAATTTCACCACTGCTGCTGATGGGAATCAAACTCTGGATCTTCAGTGAGCGCCCTGATGAAACAAGTGGCTGAAGGCAGGCTCACCAACCACTGAGCTAACCAACCCATTCCCCTCCACCCCCAATTGAAATATGGACCACATCGGCTTAAATACTAAAATTGATGATTTCAAAGGATTTTACTTTTTCGTATGTTCTATGCTGAAATACACATAATCAACTTACGTCAACATCACAGATAAAGTTTTCAAATTTTGACTGAGTTAAGATTATTTTTTTTCCAAATTACTGAAACTGTACCAAATTGGCTAAAGTCCCATAAACTGATGATTTCCAAGAATATATTTTTCTCTTCTTTTATTTGTATACCTTGCTAAAATACGCATAACCAGACTAAACGGCAACATCTCAGAATGAATTTTCAAATTTTGACTGAATTTTACAGAATTTTTCACGGTACGGAAATTGGACCAAATTGGCTAAAGTCCCATAAACTGATGATTTCCAAGAATATATTTTTCTCTTCTTTTATATGTATACCTTGCCTAAATACACATAACCAGACTAAACGGCAACATCTCAGAATTAATTTTCAAATTTTGACTGAATTTTACAGGTTTTTTCACGGTACTGAAATTGGACCAAATTGGCTAAAGTCCCATAAACTGATGATTTCCAAAAATATAATTTTCTCTTCTTTTATATGTATACCTTGCCTAAAGTTGTTTAAGACGTCGATAAGAATTAAGGACTGACGCGTTGATACTTTTTAGACTTACGGCAGAAGTTACACATATAACAACTCTTTCACCTACATGGATTTTCGAAAATCGCGAAAATATAATGATTGTTACAATACAAATAGTGTTAACTCATATAGGAATAATTCGCTTTCGCTGCAGTACAGTCCCATTCCCACTTTATACATGTGCTCATGACATTATTATTATTATTTTTACAAAATATAGGTTTAAAAAATGGCAATAAATATCATATTAGAAGCAACAAATAGCATTAGAGAAAAAGAAGAAAAGTTTGACATATCTTCATTTAATACAATCTACTTTGTTTGGAAACAAATTTTATAAAAAGACACACAAACTTGACATGAATGTTCCTGGAAGAATGACCTCATATGTTTACTTTCAAACTTCGAATCTGAATGCAAACACAGGATTTGTAACTGCCTGTACAGAAAAGGCACTTGCATGATTTATTCAATGTCAATTTCGTTTCCGTTTACCAATGCAACATTTTAATGATCGGGCTACGATATCCGCCATTATGGATTGGTCACTTCGCTTTCAGCATGCTGTCGGCTTGTTTAAATCAGAGACTTGGAGATAGCGTATTTTAGTCGCTGTTTATCATTATATATAATAAAATAATATTTATGAAAACGTTGCGAGATTTTTTAATATTGATTAGACAAATTGGTCCGGCTAGTCAAATTGGTCCTCTACAAGCCTCTAAGCCCTCGTTATCAACAGTTATCTCTACTTGGTCTGGGGAGATAGACTTTACAAAACGTTTTACAAAGTCATAAAACTCTTCCTCTTCTATGGGATAATTTGTTCCTTGAAAATATTTATTGAAATGATCCAACCAAGTTCTTGGCGAAATATTGTTTTGGAACAATTGACGAGGTTTTAGATAAGACCAAAATACTTTGCTGTTTCTGTACAAAAGTGCATTGCTAGTCTTCTCAACAAATAGGTTGAAACTATGTGATGATTTAAATTTACATAGGTCCTTGTAATATTTCCACGCCTCAATGTATCCAATTCTGTCTGCTTCCTTTTTAGAGTCGTGAAATGAGCGAAGGCAAGATCTAGCAAATGCACGTGCATCTCTACATTCTGTGTCATACCAATTATCTCCCTTTGGAGAACAATTGTCAAAATGTCTAGTTGGCTTTTTGTAATTATCGGCACACCATTTCACAAGTTCATAGAGATGAGTACCGGCATTAAATACTTGTCCCTGGCCAACTGCTGAGTAGAAGTTCTGTTTTAGTGAAGCTGGTGGATTCTCCCATCTTTGCTGATAGTCGCCGGCCGACTCGCTACCCTAGACATATCTCGGCTAGCGCGGCTGATCACGGCTTGGCAGGTCAACATGACCTCTTGTTAATTTCAGGGAGAAGGACACTGGCAAATGGGAACTTTCAACCTGGTCCTCAATTACACAGAAATCAGTGATTAAGTCAAATGTTCTTTCAAAACATAGCAAGTAGTCAACAACACTATTCCCATTGTTAGCAAAACAAGTGAAACGGCCAATATTAGCATCTTTACCTAATCGGTCATTGCATATTCTTAGACCATTTTTTTTACAGAATTCTAGAAGCATATGCCCACGTTTATTAACCAATTTATCCTGTGATTTGCGGGGGAGGGGGATATCTTCTACGCAGTTGATGTCTTCATCGAGAGGTAGGAAGTGGCTATCGTCGTTCTCATGTAGTCGCACTGGTTTCGATCTCCTGTTCGACCATTGAAATCTCCTTGAA